TAGTCTTGCTAGAACTGGAAACACAGGACAGTGCTGCTGCTTTTTCCCAAATACAACTGGAACTTATCTTTTATTTCCATAACATATTCCTCAGGCTGGATGGTGTTCACACCGAGGGGGTTTGAAACCCATCTACCTGAGCTGGAGATTTTTGTGAGGCAGTGAGATATCGTCGAGTATTCCAGCACCAGTAAGACCTCTTCCAGCAGAGCTGGAAGACTTAAACGATGCAGTGAAGATATCGTCGAGTATTCCAGCACAGTAAGACCTCTTCCAGCAGAGCTGGAAAAACTTCACTAAAGCAATGAAGATATCATCGAGTATTCCAGCACAGAAAAACCTCTTCCAGCAGAGCGGGAAGACTTCACTGAGGCAGTGAAGATATCGTCGAGTATTCCAGCACAGTAAGACCTCTTCAGCAGAGCGGAAAGACTTTTGTGAGGCAGTGAAGATATCGTCGAGTATTCCAGCACAGTAAACCTCTTCCAGCAGAGCTGGAAGACTTCACTGATGCAGTGAAGATATCATCGAGTATTCCAGCACAGAAAAACCCTTCCCCAGCAGAGCTGGAAGACTTCACTGAGGCAGTGAAATATCGTCGAGTATTCCAGCACAGTAAAACCTCTTCCAGCAGAACTGGAAGACTTCACTGAGGCAGTGAAGATATCATCGAGTATTCCACACAGTAAAACCTCTTCCAGCACAGCTGGAAGACATTTGTGAGGCAGTGAAGATATCGTCGGGGTATTCCAGCACAGTAAAACCTCTTCCAGCAGAGCGGGAAAGGGACTTCACTGAGGCAGTGAAGATATCTTTCGAGTATTCCAGCACAGTAAAATCTCTTCCAGCAGAGCTGGAAGACTTCACTGAGGCAGTGAAGATATCGTCGAGTATTCCAGCACAATAAGACGTCTTCCAAGCAGATCTGGAGCTACTATCACCGAGGAATTGGTTCCCCTCAGGATGCGTATCTCACGCACACGAGAAATTGAATTTTTTGGGAAGATATCTCCATTATCCCAGAGCGGGAGACAGAAATTTTACATAGGAGATAAGAAAGAGAGAGAGAGGATGAGGAATGTGGGTTAGTCACCCCAGGATAACCCCGGGTAAGAAGGGTTAGCCACCCAGGATAACCCAGGGTAAGGAGGGTTAGCCACCCAGGATAACCCAGGTAAGGAGGGTTAGCCACACCCGGATAACCCAGGGTAAGGAGGGTTAGT